ATAATAATAATTTGGTTAAAACTAATCAGTTAAACTGAAGGGTGAATGACCGAAATATACGAAACAATATTTAAAACCTAATATACTCCAAAATATACAAAGTACAAAGACTATACATGTACAAAAGATTGTCAAAAGAAATATATACCCATACAAAAATCTTGACATACAAACAATTGGAATAGCGCTGAAAGAAGTCTTCGTCAATAAAAAAAAAAAGAGGCAATTATAACCCAAACAGGGAACCTTAAACACGACTCTAAATCAATATATATGAAAAAATAAAAATGAAATAAAATATATTTAAAAAAAAGCCCAAGACCAGAAAGTGTGTATTTGGGAGGGGGGTGAATCTCCTTAATTCAAGTTAATAAACCTTTAAGCTTCTCTAAAGTATGAGCCCAAAGTCTAATGGTGTCCTCTCTGGCGCCATGAAGGCGAGCAGTGGACAATTCAAGATACACCACGTCTATAAATGTGAGAACCCAATATTGCTTATTAATAGAATGTGGAGGCTTCCATCTTGTTGCAACAATTTTCGTGGCCGCTGTCAAGCCAGCTAAAAAGACTCGCTTCTGCATTTTGTTAAGTTGGATGTCCAAAAGATCATTTAAAATAAAGACAGAAGGGGACAAAGGGTTTGAGACCTTTAATATAGTGGACAGATTTTCTTTAACCATATTCCAAAAACTGGCAACCCCAGGGCAATCCCAAATCATGTGAAAAAAAGTACCAATTTCCCTTGTATGACACAGCGTGCAATTAGGATCGGGTTTAAGTTTCATGCTATAGAGTTTACGTGGAGTCATATAAGTCCTATGAATAAAGTTTAAATGGATTTGTTGATGATCCGGATTCCTCGAAGCATACATTACGATGATCCGGATTCCTCGAAGCATGCATTACCATAACCCAGACTCCGTCCCAATCAAAACTGGGAGAAAGGTCCGGAATATCTGCCCGCCAAGCAGAGTCTATTATCAAAGGAGGATACATTTTTTCCAGAAAATAACCATATAACTTAGAAACGAATCCTCTTGTTCCCGGGGTCTCACATATTACTTTCAATAAAGGGTGTTCTTTGAGAGGAGCCATCCAAGGGACCCCGTAGGCCTTCATGGCTGCCCTCAACTGTAAGTAAAAAAAAAAGGTGGAGCTTTGCAGGTTAAACTGAATAGAAAGTTCTTCAAAGGTATAAAGGCCCTTGTCGCCCATTATATCACCCAAGGAGTGAATCCCTTTGTCATACCACTGTCGACACTGGCTAAACTTAATTGGGTGCTTGCCAATTAACAAGCCATCATTATTAAAAATAGGAGAGTAGGGATTCCAACTAACCAATTTCTTGTCTGAATTATTAAATCACATACCTGAAGAAGTTGTGGGATTTTACTGCATTTTTTTTTTGCTGAGCACATTATTGCCTTAGCGATAGAGGACTCCTGCCGATATTAGTTATTTGGTTGGGAACCAACTAAGCAGCAAAAGTAATAAGTGTCTGAGACATGGAGGAGTGTGAGGGGGGGCGGAATTAAGGGAGAAGGTCTTCTTTTTTTCTTTGGTTATATGTTGCATGAGAATCTTTTTTGGTCCAGCACATGATGTTCCTGATGAAATTACTCAGAGCGGTAGTTGCCATATCTGTGGAACTTCATGTTCTGCAGCTTGCATTGGCCGCTCTCTTATTATTTTTCCCCCTCACTATTACGAAAGCTAATTTCTCAGCTACACTGACTCACACGGAATAGTCAGTAGCATACTGTTGGTTGCGTTCATATTATTTTTCTCTTTATGTTTACCAAAGCTCATTACTCCGGTGGATTGATATAGGAGGAACAGCAAATTACCCTTTTTGTGTCTGTAATAGATGTACATCGAACTCACTCCCATCCTCACAAGCCACTCCATCTGAGCAAGCAGTTGAAGCTGAGAGAGATGAGGAGGAGGAGGAGGAGGTGGGATGATGAGATGAGTTAAAACAGCGATTCCCAAAGTTTGCTGTCTCTGACTGCAGTACTTCAGCTGACCATATTCATATATCTGTGTACCACTTAATCACAAGTTTTGAATAACTGAGCAAATATAACATTAATATATAACATTGCAATGCGATTCATATATTATATTATGTTATGTTATGTCATGTTATATGCCATTTGAAGCGTTTAAACTTCCTGTCTATTTAAAAGCACATAATACGGTTTTGATATTAAATGACTTTTAAAAATAGTAATAAATAGTTAATGTTGTAAGGGAAACAGGTCAATTTAGCTCAAAGGGAATCATTTAAGATTTTAAAGGGAATTTGGACAGAATCACTGTTTTATGGCTGATCACTGAGACGGCCAGCGATTCATTGAACGAGCCGTATAACATCAACTCTGCAATGGATATTTATATCCAAAATATAGTGAAAACACTATTAATTAGCACAGTAACAAGATTGGCAGTTTAAGAATAGAATAGCTTTTTATTGTCATTGCACAGTTGTACAACTAAATTTTTTTGCTCTCACACTGAAGTGCACGCATACATACAATAATTTACATAGAAGTACATTTAACAAAATGCAAACAATGATACAGAAAATATAAACAGTGCAATGTAAACAGGTGTGCAGTAGACAGTGTACATGTAAACAGTTATATATACTAAATGTGCAAAATGGTTATAGTGCAAATGTATTAGATATGTACAATGAGTGAAATATTAATAAATCGAGAGAATTAAGGAATAAATATATAAATATAAGAACAGGGTATTGCACAGGTACAGGTAGCTGTATGAGTAGTAAGTGTATAGTCCTTAGTATTTCACAACCTTTGAAGCTTGTGATAAAGTTATATGTCTTTTTTTAATTGGAGTTCAGTTCTAAGATGGCACGTGGATAAAAACTGTTCCGGAGTCTGGAGGTGTGTGTCTTGAGGGATCTGTAGCATCTTTCAGAGGGCAACAGAGTGAAGAGGTGGTTGCTGGGGTGGGAAGAGTCCTTTATTATACTTCTTGCCCATCGGATGCATCTGGTGCTGTAGAGAGACAGCTGTGCATCAGTGATTTTCTGTGCAGAGTTGATGACTCTCTGCAAAGCTTTTTTCTCAGCCATAGTGCAACCAGCATACCACACTAGAATGCCTGAACAGTGGTAAAAGGACACAAGCAGCTGCTGAGACAGGTTAGTTTTCCTCAGCATCCTCAGAAAGTACAGCCATTGCTGTGCCTTCCTTACCAGGGACGTTGTGTTAGCAGTCCATGTGAGGTCCTGGGAGATGTGTGTGCCAAGAAATTTAAAGGTGGACACCCTCTCCACCATTTCTCCTCCAATGTATAGAGGGGCTGGTTCCTCTTTCTGTGTCCGGAAATTGAAGATGAGTTCCTTTGTTTTGGAGGTATTGAGTGCCAGGTTGTTACTGATGCACCATTCTGAGAGCTTAGCCACCACCTCCCTGTAGGCAGATTCGTCAGCATTTGATATTAACCCCACCACAGTGGTGTCATCTGTAAATTTAATGATTGTGTTTGTGCTGTGGGTTGGTGTGCAGTCGTGGGTGTATAGCGAGTATAACAGAGGACTCAGCACGCAGCCTTGTGGGGCTCCAGTGTTGAGAGTCAGGGTCGTTGAGTGTTGGCCCCCCAGCCTGACAGTCTGTGTGCGGTTTGTTAGAAAATCCTTTACCCAGAAACATATGTAATCACTGACACCCAGGTTAAGCAGTTTGGTGACCATTCTGCTGGGAATGATAGTGTTAAATGCAGAACTAAAGTCCACAAACAGCATCCTTAAAAATGTTCCTGGGTGCTCCAAATGATTCAGCGCGGTGTAGAGAGCTGTGTTGATGGCATTGTCAGTTGACCTGTTAGCTCTGTATGCATACTGATGTTGATCCAGAGTGGAAGGAAGTGGGAAGGAAGACATTAACTTGTAAGCACAAAACACAAGATACTTCTCTTTTCAATATACATTTTCAATATAAATAAGGCTTTATTGGATAAATCTAAGACATATATACTAATCTAACACACGCATTCACACAATTTGTAGAGAAAGAGAAAGAGAGGAAATAATTAGTTTAAGAGAATGAAAATGTGAAATCCCAAGTTTACAGCAATATGTGCAATTGCATAGATCTGAACAACCATCAATCACTTAATTAACCCTCGCATTGAGTTCCTCAATTAGGTTAAAATTTATATTAAATGCAACAGTTCAGCTAGAATCTGGAGGTACTTGTGTTGCGTGTCCGGGGTTCCCTTTGTTGCCGTCCTTTCAGAAAAGGGGGTTTCCCACGGTTGCTGATTGGCTGGAAGTTCAGTCTTGGGAAGCCAGTGGTTGGGCGTTTGCTGATGACGCGGAGTTGTGGTTGAAGTTCAAGTTTTAGACAACACTCGAGGTCGGACTCGAGACACGGCGTTAGGCAAAACTTAACTCAGAACACGAAACTCTCAACGGAAAATAGAAGAAACTAAAGTAAAGAAATAGAAGTAAAATTTGACGAGACTAGGTGGCGTTTCTCCTCATGGTTTTGGAGGAGCTGGCGTGTAAGCCAGAGCACGCTCAAAGAGCGCAAAAGGTGATGACAGAAAAGCATGGCTAGAAAAAGGCAAAAAAAGGGAAAAAGGGGCAGATTTGATGCTGTCCTAAGTATTTAAACTGGGCTTTTGGTAACATCCCAAATGTTTTTTTGACCAATTAGACGCTGTCTTTGCTGGGGGTGTTGTATATTTCACCTCCCAATTCATAAATCAAAATGTTATCTCATCAGGCACATGGTCCGAGTTTTCCCGCTCTTGCAGAGTATACTTTTGGACATGATTTCTATAACAAGAATATGATACATTTGACAAAGAATTGATTGGAAGAAACGTTTCAAGCAAGAAGATTCAAACACACACATACTAAACATGAATATGAACCCTTAAGCTATTCAGTAGTTATTCAAAATACATACACAATAAATGATTAAGACCTGATAGTCACACATGTCGGTTACATACATAATATGGAGTTATGCATAGAAATGATTAGTTGCTCACAAGTCCTTTTAGTGTCATTTAGGTGCATGGAAAGGCAGTTTCTGTGCCATTCTGTGAATGTATGAAGACTGAGATTAAGAGGTCTGTAAGGAATCTCAGTCTGTTCTTTGTCTCCTAGGTGGGGGAAGTCATTCCAAAGAGCTCGTGATCATCACTTGTTTACATGTGATGGTCATGCTGTGCATCTCTGACCATTTAATCTTGATTACTTGCCCCCAAAATTGACAATCTCCTTGGAATTGTCAATAAGTGTTCTTTTGTTTAAATGCTGTGAGCTACTCAAAGCTGTTAGTTGGTGGGCTTGCTTCAGGCTTGTGGCGCAAGGATCTGATTTTCGAACATCATGTGTCTTGGGCCTCTGTGGAATTCGGCTCCTCGTGTTTCAACTATGTTCTTGATCAAATCTTAAATTGTCTGATTCGGTCTGATACCCTACAATGTAAATACTTTTTATACATCGCTTAGTGTTTGTTATAACATGTTTATAGCATGTTTGTTATGATATGATGTTTATAGGCCCAAGTGTTAAAATTGAACCTGCAAACTTTTCTTTTCCACTCTCATTGTCAGAGATTGCACAAGATCCTGGGAGACACAAGGCCTCATGTGTGGGAGGTCCAAGACCGACCCAGGATTCTACAGAAAAAGGGTTGTTACCCTGAGCAGCCTGACCAGACTGTCCCAAAATCACAGCTGTTGTTACGCTGGATGGAGCTTCATAATCAAATACAGCAGAAGATACAATCTACACAGAAGATCAGAAAGAATTATGACAGGTGTGAGAAATCAGTAACCAAATAATAATTTTTAATGCCTTTTTGTTGGAGGTAAGGTATGAACAAATAAATAGGTAACAAATAAAGGTGTGTGCTTTTGTGCGTTTGAATGTGTAGGTTCCAGCATGACTCAACAGAACTAGAAGAATGGATGTGTCATGCTCAAGAACAGGTTCAGAAGTGGAACAGTTTCTCTGATTCTGGTCTCTTGGACTCCAGGATAGTCTTTACCCAGCTCATGGTGAGTATAATTAGATTTTTTTTTTTTTTTTACACAAATGTAACGTATACCTAAAATGCCAAAATAGGAATGTGGCTTTGTTTGTGTATTGCAGGAGTTCTTCAAGGAGCTGCAGGGCCGTTCAGCACAGAAAGCTTCTGCAGAACTTTCAGGTGCACAGATACTGCAGCTGACTGACAGTGAAGCTCCAGGTCTGCGCAGACGACTGGCTCAACTTGAGCAGGAATGGTCGAACTTGACTAACGTCCTGCCCACTATCCACCAGACACAGCAACAAGTACGACTAATGTCTCTCTCAAAGTTTCTTTCTGTTTTTCTCTCTCCCTCCATCTTCTCCCTCATCCATCTGAAGAAAAGCTCTGGCAAACAGATATTGTTTAAGTAAGCATCCTCTTGCCCTCCTTCTAGCTGTTGACAAACCAGTCTCACAGTCAGATCTTGGCCAGTTTGACCTCCTGGCTCGAAAATGTAGAGGGACGACTGGAAGATGAAAGCTCGGAGGTCCATTGTGCCCCCGGTTCCTCTGAACTGTCTAGACATCTACAGGCTTTGAAGGTAGTACACCTACTGTACACTTTTAATTCTTTTGATTTTCTGGTTTCTGATTATTTCAGGGTATAAATGGAAAACCTTGTTTGGTTCGCTGTTTTGTTCTCATGTTCACCAAGGCTGCATTGATTTAATCAAAAATACAGTAAAAATCATAATATTGTTGAATATTATTACTATTAATTACTACTATATTATATAATATAATATACTACTATATTACTATTATTAATTAAAAATAACTATTTTCAATTTAAATATATTTAAAATGCACTTTATTCCTGTGAAGGCAAAGCTGAATTTTCAGCATCATTACTCCAGACTTCAGTGTCACATGATCCTAATATGTGACCCTGGACCACAAAACCAGTCTTAAGTTGCACAGGAGTATAGTATTTGTACCAATAGCCAAAAATACATTGTATGGGTCAAAATTATACATTTTTCTTTAAATCACAACTTTAAAGGTGATTTTCTCAATATTTTGATTTTGTTGCACCCTCAGATTCCAGATTTTCAAATAGTTGTATCTCGGCCAAATATTGTCCTATCCTAACAAACCATACATAAATGGAAAGCTTATTTATTCAGCTTTGAGATGATGTATAAATCTCAATTTTAAAAAATTGACCCTTTTGACAGATTTTGTGGTCCAGGGTCACATATGCTGATTTTGGTGCTCAAGAAACATTTATTATTGTTATCAGTGTTGTAAATAGTTGTGCTGCCTAATATTTTTGTGTAAACTTTGATACATTTTTACGGATTCTTTGATCAATAGGAAGTTCAAAAGAACAGCATTTATTTACAATAGAAATCTTTTGTAACATTAGAAATGTCTTTACTGTCACTTTTGACCAATTGAATGTGTCTATGCTGAATGAAAGTATTAATTTCTTTAAAAACAAAAATCCTAGAAAACATGAACATGTCATTCCACTCTTGTATTTTTATATATTAGGATCTTAAGGCTGAAATAACCAGTCATCAGCCGTACGTTGACTTTCTGAACCATCAGTCTGTGGAGGGGGCGGGATCAGTGAATGAACCCACCAATCGCAATGAGCGCATCCTGTTTGCAGAGCAACTGGGAGCTCTCAATCGGAGTTGGCTTATTCTACATGCCAAAATTGACAGCAAGGTGAGTGCAGAAGTATAACCCTGTATAACCTGCCAAAGCCATCGTATTTGAAATGTGACAAGTTCTTCTGTCTCTAGATACATGATGTTGAGGACCAATGGCAGGCCTGCAAGAACAGAGAAAAGCGTTTGCGCTGTATGCACAGCTGGATCTCTCAATGTATTGAATGGGTGAAAAACAGCTGGCGACCAGAGAGCTGCTCGCATATTGAGCAAACATTACAGAAGTGTGAGGTGAGTCTCATGTCTCACAGCTAGCTTGAAGATTTTATGTTGCAGTTGTTATTTGTGGGTGTGAGAGTGAGTCAAATGAGTGCTTTTGAAAAGGTTATCAGAAATATATACTGATACCAGAAAACTTGGACATTGCTTCATTGCAGGAGACAGAGGACAGGCTGCAGGTGAAGTCCTCTGAGCTGAAGGCTTTGGGAGCTCTTCACCTGTTTGGGCAGCAGGATGGTGAACATCCCGGAGATCAAGCGTTCTCCAAGCAGGTGAATTCAGCCATCCAGGACTGCCAAGCTTTGAGTCAACAGGTAAGTTCTTAAACCCTGTGCCAGAATGCATCAGTAAATTTGTGCACATTGGCCACATATACTACTTTTCAAAAGCTCAGTAAGATTTTCTTTTAAAGAAAATAATAGTTTCATTCAGCAAGGATGAATAAATTAATCAATGTGTCATAATTTCCACAACAATATTAAGCGGCAGATTTGTTTCAACATTGATAATAAATTAATCTTGAGCATCAAATCAGCATATAAGAATGATTTCTAAAGGATCATGTGGCACTAAAGACTGGACTTCCATCACAGAAATAAATTACATGTTAAAATATATTTAAAAAGTTATTTTAATTTGTAATAATATTTCAGAACATTACTGTTTTCACTATATTTTTGATCAGCCTTAGTGAGCATAAGAGACTTCTTTCAAAATCTTTACAAAACTTACCAACCCTAAACGTTTTAATGGTAGTGAACATACTGCAGCTTTAAAAGGACTATAAAAACACTGTGCTTGTGTAAGTGATCATAAAATGTATTTGTTTTTTCTATTAAAGGGGTCATCGGAAGTTGATATGATTCTTTAGGGTCTTAATGAAAAGTCTATAACATACTTTGGTTAATTTCTCAATGGTAGTGTAAAAAAC